CGTGTTTTATAGGAGGCTGCTATGATATACTGAATTCAGGTTTCAATTCAAGGGAGATTTTATAAATTTTGCACTACATATGTTTTCAGTTACTAAATATTTTAGGTTTAGGACCAACAAGTAGTATAACTGTCTTACAATTTACGTTTCCTATCAATACTGAGTAATTACAATGATGTCACTTGATATGAATATGATGTAATTAAAGTGTAGAGTAAATGGTTAGACCATACAAGCAGGCCTAACATAATTCAGAATTACCAGGGGTAGTAATATGAACAGCATATGAACTACTTAAATTACCTTATCAACTACTTCTACTTTTGCCCCTGCTGATAACAATGCCTTAACTGATTTATTATCACCTTTTTCTACTGCATAGTGAAGTGGAGTCTTGTTGTCCTGAAACAAATATAATACAGTGTTAAATGACACAAATACAGTGTAGAGTAAACTTTCAGAATATACAAGCAGGCCTGACATAATTTATTTACATAATATGTAAATAGTAGAAACATGAATTTGTAATGTGAACTTTCAGACCATACAAGTAGGCCGGACATGATTCATTTTAATACACAATATACAATTGGCACCAAAGCATGAATTTAAAAATATTTTTGAATTACCTCAATAACCACATCTACTTTGGCCCCTGCTGACACCAATGCTACAATTGATTTAGAACAATAATGTTCTACTGCATAGTGAAGTGGAGTCTTGTTGTACTGAAACAAATATATTAATACCATGTTTAATGTTGTAAATATGGTGTAAACTGTCAGACTACACAATTTCCTGGTTGACATGAGATTCAATTATCATAGCACACATGAACAATGTTAAACAGAATAAAGAAACCTAGCCAATCACGGCTCAAATCATAATTCATATATCACATAAATTGCAGTTTATGTAAATGTATTGCATATTATGCTGACCTGCTAGGTAATGACTGTATAATCTTACATGCTTTGGTAGATGTAGAAACATGGTTGATATTGACCAAACATAATGCCATATGCCACACTTATAAACCTAAACACAATAGAACTTTGCATAACCAGATCATATTTTTTACCAAATTATTCCCATTTATAATAAATTGTGTCCGAGGAATTAAGCACCTGTTTAATAGTGCTATATTTGATTGGTTTATTTAAAAAGTACATAATTTTATTAGAATAATTGCAGTGGAATTTTAAATATAATATAAGCATCTTATCTGTTGAATGATGTACATCTACATTACTGACCATGTATATCTAATTACATAATTCAATATTTGCACTCACATTGACATCCCTAATATTCAATCTTACAATTTGATTGGTGTGATTATATGTTTGTGCTTGAAAATGACAGAGTAGAACCCCTAG